TTCTAGAATAAATTACATATTTCTCAGCTTTTTAAAGGAGCATACAGGGAATGCAATCTTAATTTTACTTAGATGTATAGGGATATTGGTACCTATATTAAATGACCTCACGAATATGAATGAATGCTAAAGACTGCATGCCTCTAATATAGCCAAGATGGATAGGAAGTGGCAGTGGAATCTCACTACATGATCTTAGGCAAATACTTAACCATTAAGCTTCAGTTTCACTTCTAAATTAAATATCTTATGGGGTTACCATTAAGAGTAAATAGCACATAGTAGCTATTCAATGAATAATATATAAATGGTATCTTAAATAAGAGCTCACAAGCTCTGATTCTCCTATGAATAAAGTTAGAGAGTTTTAGTACATGGGCTCCATTTCCCCAATTTTGGGTGTTTAGAAGGTTTTTGCATCAGAGTTGTATTTTTGATAGTAGAGGTTACCAGATAAGTGTTCCCTGGATAAGTGTGGCTTTAATATGAATTGTTAATTTTGGTAACATGCGTGAACTGCTGCTTGAGAAGTATAGAAACTGACATTCCTATAGAGACGGTATTTCACCCTCCATCACAGGTCATTTTCATACTACCAAAAACTGTTTTTCCATTTACATATATGTAAAAAGGACTAGAACTCCTTCCGCTATTATAAAAACTAGTTTAGTGTTCGAAAGGAAAAGGCATTGTCAATTGCATAATGGAGAAAAAAAGAAAAGCATGATATTATTAAATTGAAAAAGAGTATCAAGGAGAAATGTCCTCCAAAATTATGGGAATGAATTTTTGGTGTGTGGCCAAAGGCAGAAAAAGGGCAACATTAATTGAGTTATTGCTAATATTATCTGAATAGATGAAGAAACAAAATGACATAGATCTGACCAAAAAAATCATTATATGCAAAGATAAATGTTGGGCCATCTAGATGTCACTGATTTTGGACATATTCTACCCAGACAGAAACTCTATCATACAAATAATGGCACCTAACTCCTCCCTACTGAAAGATTATATTTCATTCCACTTTTCTGAAGATCATACATCAAACATTAAAATGAAGAATGTAGGCTGGGCACAGTGGCTCATGTCTGCAATCCCAGCACTTTGGGAGGCTGAGGTGGGAGAATGTAGCTATTTATCTCATAGACACAAAAAGCAATTCTAGTGCCAACCAATCATTTCATAAATGTCACTGCCTCAAAGGAGAGTAGGTGAGCAAAGGTGGATGGATCGTTACACTCTATCACCCCTGAAAAACCTACTCAAAATGCCTGCCCTGTTTATGGAATGCCACTGGTGTTATCATCTTCTTACATACACTTGATTTCACTCCACTTTAATCTATACTGTTTTTCTTTCAGCTTACCTTGCCTGAACTTGAATCCCCTGTCACAGATGCATGGGGCACATCTCCTGTTGACCTTTTCTGCACTTCTGGGGTTGGACACCTTTTCCCCCTATCGTCCACAGATTTCTTGGCATCAGAAGTTTCATGTTCACTTTTACTTTGTCTTTTTACTCCTGTTATTTCTTTGCCCCTCTTTGCTGAGGTTTCTTTATCTTCTTTCTTAGCCTGTTCGCCTTCTTTCTTTTCCATTTCTTCTTTTGCTTTTTGTTGCTTCTCTGCGATTTCATTTTCTTCAGGTTCTTGTTTCTTTCTGGCTTGTTGTTCTTGTTCTTCCTTCCTCAGTTTCTCTTTCTGTTCCTCTTGCTGCCTTTCCCGAAGTTCTTTTTCTTGTTTGTTTTTCTCCATTAGAAGAACAGTTTCTGCATGAATACGGGCTTTTTCTTCATCTGTTAACATGACAGTGGAAGAGGGAACCACAGGCTTGGTGGAACGATCAGGAACAACTTTTCCATTCTGAGGAGACTGCTGCTCATGATCTGTACTTTCAGATTTTACTCTATGATCGTCAGGCAATTTGACTGCCGGTTTTTTCGTACGATCAATCTAGAGCAACAAAACCGAAGTAAACATAACACAAGAACTATCACTTTGTGGAGACAACATCTGCTAGAACAGCTATTTGTAATTTATTCAATGTCAAGATTTCTCACAAGGTAGTACTTAAATGGGAGAAGGCACTTCCAATGGCACTTCCTCTTGATTCAACACTTTAATTCAACCTGATGTGTTCTGTATACGAAAGAGTTACTAAGGTCTTCATTCTAAAACATGAAACCTAGACCTGGGCATACCTAGACTTAAGTTCCACTTCCATGTATCCAACTACCTACTTCCATATGAGTGTCAACACATACACCTCAAACCCAATATGACCAAAATTGAATTCAGTATTTCCCCCCACAAACATGGTCCTTATCTCATGGATGTAACCACTCTCCAAATAGCTGCACAAGCCAGAAACCAGGGTATTCCATGATATGTTCTTCCCCTCCCTTCTGCAATTTGATGAGTTTCCTCCTGTATCTGTCCCTCCATCTCCGCTGTCACCAGCCAAGTCCACGTCAACATCCTCTGTCACCAGGACAACAGCATACCTTCCAACTAGTTGCTCATCTCTTTTCTTACCTCCTTTCTAATCCATTTCTCCACATTATAGTCAGAGTATTCATTTTAAAACAAATCTGATCATGTTCCTCCCCTGCTTAAAACCCTATTTTAGGCCAGGCACAGTGGCTCATTCCTGTAATCCTAGCACTCTGAGAGGCCAAGGCAGGAGGATCACTTGAGGGCCAGGAGTTTGAGACCAGCCTGAGCAATCTAGAGAGAACCCATCTCTAAAAAAAGAAAGAAAAGAAAAGAAAAAAAAATCCTGTTTTAGGCCAGGCGCGGTGGCTCACGCCTGTAATCCTAGCTCTCTGGGAGGCCGAGGCGGGCGGATTGTTTGAGCTCAGGAGTTCGAGACCAGCCTGAGCAAGAGCGAGACGCTTTCTCTACCAAAAATAGAAAGAAATTAATTGGACAACTAAAAATATATAGAAAAAATTAGCCGGGCATGGTGGCACATGCCTGTAGTCCCAGCTACTTGGGAGGCTGAGGCAGGAGGATTGCTTGAGCCCGGGAGTTTGAGGTTGCTGTGAGCTAGGATGACGCCACGGCACTCTAGCCAGGACAACACAGTGAGACTCTGTCTCAAAAAAAAAAAAAATCCTGTTTTAATTGCCACCCTCTGTACTCAGATTACATCTAATCTGAGTGTGTGATCTTACCTCTCTAATCTTATTACTCCATATACCAGCCATACTTGCCATTTAAAAAAAAAAATTCTTCGAAGATGCTGTGCTCCCTCCCAAGTCAGGCCTTTATATCAGCTGTTCATCTAGATAATGCCCACAACATTAGGTCTTGACTCAAATATCTCTCCCTTAGAAAATACTTCCCTGATTCCTAGAACTAGCCAAGTCCCCTGACACATGCTCTCATAATACCTTATTCTTTTCCTATGCTTATAGCACCTATTGGGATTCTAATTAAATAATTATTTAAAATCTTTCTTTCTTCCTAGAATATAAGCTCTAAAAGGGTAGAGACTGTGCCTAACACACAGTCAATAAATATGTTCCTAAGAGAACAAATAAGATGTTCCCTAACAACTTCCTAAGAGATAACATACTAATTGGTTTCTTTAAATTGAGAAAGTTTATCATTTTAACAGGAGATTAACTATACCATTGTGAGAAGTGACTGTAACATCATTTCTTGAGAATATTGTGTACTGAAACAAAAGTAAGAACTTATAAGAACATCTGCCAGTAACAACCTACATAGTGTTCTTGCAAAGTCAATTTTATATTTTTCCACTAGAAAACAAAGGAGGAAGAAGTTAGTGTAGGATAAAAAAAATCATTACTTTCCTCTTCACTTATCTGTCTTTTCACTAAAAAAAAAAAAAAAAAAAAAAAAAAATCTGGCCTGGTGCAGTGGCTTGTGCCTGCAATCCCAGCACTTTGGGAGACTGAGGGGGAAGGATCACTTGAGGCCAGGAGTTCAAGACCATCCTGGACAACACAGTGAGACTCGGTCTCCACAAGAAATGTTTAAAATCTGGCTGCGTGTGATAGTGTATGCCCATAGTCCTAGTTACTTGGAAGGCTGACGCTGGAGGATCATTTGAGCCCAGGAGTTCGAGGTTACAGTGAACTACGACTGTACCACTGCGCTCTAGCCTACACTCCAATGGTGTTGGATTAATATGCTGTTAAACTAAGGTAATTAACTCATTAAGTCAGGAATTTAGGTAGTTCTTTCAACTTGAAGGAAACAAATTAGTATCTTATTCCTTATGAAGTTGTCCGGGAATGCTTTATTTGTTCCCTCAGCACCATATTTATTGACTATGTGTCAGGCACAGTCTCTATGCTTTTATAGATCATATGGGTGACAAAGTGAGACACTGTCTCTTTAAAAAAAAGTCTATTTCCTCTTCTTCTTCTCTACATGTATTTGAGAATGAAGGAGGAAGAACCACCACTATTGGGATGACATTAACAATAAAAGATGGAGCAGGAACCAAAATAAATGTTTCCATTCACATTTTGGTAGATCAATCCATTTTTCCCTAATCTTCAAAGCACAGCTATGATCATGGTACTTTTAAGATTAAAACTCTTCAATGGCTCCCTGTGCCTACAGAATAAAATTCAAATTTGAGCCAAGTCTCTCTTGAAGACTCTTGTCCATCCCTCCAATCTTACCTACTATCACATTCTCCTCTTGCCAACAGAGACCAATGCCTACAGGCACCAAAACTGCTCCCTGCCCCAACATAAGCCCTATGCCTTTAGTCATAGGATTTTCTATTTGTTTCTTCCATGCACAAATCCTACTCTTAAAAACAAGATAAAATACTACCTCCTCCATGAAGACCTCCCTGATCCTCTCGGCTAGAGTTTTTCTCCTTGCTCTGTGTTCCAGTGACTAGTAAAGCAATTATGATATTCTGCCTCACACTATGGTTGATTTTGTACACGGCTCTCCTTCTAAATATAAGAAGAATCCACATCTTATATTTGTAAACTTTCATTCTGTCTTTCATATCAAAGATCTTCAAAACATGTTTGATAAACTATACACACCTCAGAAAGTCATGTTGAGACAGAAAAGGATTAGGGTTGAAATATGTTAAATTAAAAGGACATGCAATAACATAAGTTCTTTTTAGAATTTCTTAAATTTACATTTTAAGAAAAGGTTAAGCAAATTCTATTTAGTCTTAAGATTTAATCTGCAATATTAAAAGACCTCAAAAAAAAAGAAGAAATGAATGACCTCATTTTATAACAAAAAAATTACCAAATTTTCTACTCATAGGCTGCTTCACAAATCAAATGTCATCCACCTCAAATGTGAAATACTGTTTTAAATTATCTCTGGGGAAAAAATTAAAAATGAATGCTAAAAAATCTTGTTGGGGAATGCATAGGGGAATTATTAGTAAATCTTCAAATAAAACCTAATGAAGGAAAAAAAACTGCAATTTTTTTTATTGTAACATCCTGGTTATTTAATAACTTTTGAATGATTACTATTATTATTTTT